CTAGGGGCAAAGGGATCTATGCTAATGCAACCCTAGCTAACATGAATTTTGTTTAGAGAATACTTCTCAGAATGCTTTTCTTTAGAGGATAATTATTAAAGGTGTAGGCTAATGTTATATAATGGTAACAGAAAGGCGATATCCTAATTTCTAACTATATCAAGCAGAGAAACTCCGAGCATAGCCCTCTCCATATGTTCATGCTTTGTAGCATTCCTTGAGAGAGGCGTATGATCAGCAGTGGACTTAAAAGAGGCTGTAATGACGATAATGGTAGTAAACGGATAAAAAAATAAATATGTGTGCAGTTAACACGCGATAGAACTGAAACTTTCAAATTAAATAAAATATAAAACAAAAACATTTCACAGCAAATTATTTATTTAATTTGATAGTTATCAACCACAAGTGCGCCATAAAGTAGGCCTAAAAGTTTAACTTTATAGCAAATAAATGTTACAATCCTTATTTATAGACATGTAGAGCCTATCTATATAATATCTTCTGCGTATTTGGCCAGTCTCTACTAAGATTATCATGTTTTTACATTTCATGTGCTAAAATGATAATAAGTTTATTATTACTTTATATTTTTCAGGGACAGATGAATGAGAGATTAGCCCCATAAATAGAATGCACTTTATATAGAGCAATCTTATTTAACTGATACCTATAAGTTTCCTTATTTATTAAATTTACATTCATATTTGAGTGGAATGTTAAAATAAACTTCTATTATTATTAAACGTATTACTTAAAATATGAAAAATAAAACAGCCATTATGTACACCGTGTCCCCTTTTTTTTTAAACAGCAAAAAATTTTAAATATAAAGAGGCACTTACTTAATTAAGTACCTACATATTTATATTTCATTAACATTATGTTAAAAAAGAAATTCCGTGGAAACTGTCCCATGGCAGTAAATATTTTTATGAAGGGGAAAGTTATTTAAGTTTATTCGGTAGTCTCATCTCCTCAGAGATTATTGCAATTTTGTACATTTTAAATTAAAATCCAACAAAAGGCAGGTTCAGTATATTTCCCGGAACATGTTATATGAATATTTTTAATTATATTAGAAATACATGTTAAAAATTCAGTTAATTTTGGAAGTTATTCAGTTACGTACACTAAACAATTTTTTTTTCTTTTTACCGCTTTCTTAACAAACATTTTTCGATAGTCCTTGTACCTAAGTAAAATATAAATCGCTAACTAACTAGTATATAGATATATACAGTAATCTATGCTAACTAACAAATACAATGACAAATCATAATTTGACACGCGTATTCGGGCTGTCAGATACGCCTGTATGTTCTAAGTCTATGTAAATAACAATCAAAAACTTTACCTATTAGGTAATCGAATACGTAATATTTCATAAAAATCGAAGTGATAATCGCAAAATGACAACCGCACTCCCCAAGAGACTATTTTTGTTTTTTTAAACAAGTCCAACCGCACTTCTTACGAGATTGTTTTATTTTTGTATAGCAATTTCAAACAACAATGCACTAAAATTCTGATAAACGAATAACATGACAGATAAATAATTATATAAATAAATAGTAACGAGACTATTTCTTAACCCTGCAGTTGTCGCGCTTTATAAAAACAAATAAGTGGTCATGTGGATTTCATATATTATAGTCTAATCTATATTAACAATAAAGCTGTAAATATTAACTTTAACTATATTTTAAATAAAACAAGGTAACATTTAGTCATCGATTAATGATATTAAATAAACAGAAATATTTATACCTTCTTTTTTAATCAAATAATAATAATGAAAAAAATTTTACTATTAATATATGAAAATGGGACATTAATTTCAAACTGAGATCACAAATCAGTTTACATATTTATTTCTAATCTAACCATTTGTTTTTAAACAAGAGGAACATATGCAGTTTTAACAATCCGGACGAACGAATTTGCGAAAGCAGTGCATGATGGGCGCGTACTTTTAAATCATCAAGGAGTATATATAGATCGTAGAGGGAGTTAATATTTTTGAGCATAGAAATTTTTTTTGCTCAAAGATATTAACTCCCTCTACGATCTATACAGTGTGTTAATTTTACACTTGATCAAACGAAATGTGCGGATACTAGATAAAAAAGTTATCGGTAAAAATCGAGATTTTTTTTTAATTTAAACTTTAATAAAAGCATTTTAATTTTTTTTTTGGTAAAATTCCCATCCTTCGTTTTTAAATTATTTTATCTTTAAGTAAACGGTGAATTTTTTCAAAGTAGTTTTATTTGAAAGTTAGAAAGATTAACTAGCAATATAAATTAAAAAAACCTAGGATATCAAGCAGGAAATTTATCAAAAAATAATAAGATATTTTTTTTTTGTTAAAAAAATACTTTTCTTTATAATTTTTGGTCTGTAACTTCAAAACTAGTACGTTGAGATAACCTTTTTAGCATGTTTTATTAAACTACGTAGATTACTGTACAAGTTCTCCAAAATAACATGCGTTCTATCTCTTTTCGTTTTTAAAATAATAATCATCAAAGAATGCCATCGGTATGTTGATTTGCGCTTATGCGCCGCACCTACCTCTAATTTGAACACCCCTGGTCGAACAATAGCAGGTAAAGATTAATTACATGGGCAAGAGGTCGACTTAAATCACTCGCACATGCCTTTAGTACACGTGTGATTATGCCATCATGTCCAACTGCATTGCTGTTTTTAAGCGATACAATAATAGAAGCTATTTCAATTTCATTGGTTGGGGTTAGAAATATTGAATTTTTATTGAATGGAATGTTGATTTTATCAGAATTTAAATTGTCCTGTTCTAGGTTCGTCATGTCTATAAAATAGTTATTAAACAATTCACATATTACATTAGGATTACTATATTTTATGTCATTAATACTTATTATGTCAATATCATTACATTCTTTATCGTTATTTAAATTATCATTAATAATATTCCATGTCGCTTTACATTTATTAGAAGCATTATGTATAACTCCTTGGTTTTGTAACTTTGTGGTTTTATAAAAATTACGTGTCACATTGTTTGTCCGCGATGAACTCCTAAACTGCTGAACTGATTTCAATGAAACTTTGCACACTGTGTGCAGTTTTGTCCAACTTGAAAGATAGGATAGTTTTTATACCGATAAGTGATCCTCCATTTTTTTTTATTACGAATTTAAGGACTTTTTTAACAGGACAAAAGGGTCGTCGTTATGGGCAGAACAACGTCTGCCTGGCCAGCTAGTATAAAAATAAAATTTTGTACAACTGACTTAAGAATAACTGAAAAACTATTGGTCAGACTTATATGGGTCTAATTTATATGGAACCACATGTGAAGCACCAAATTTGAAATAAATAAAGCATCATCGAAATCGGTTCACCCAGAAAAAAATTATGAGGTAAAACACATTAAAGAAAGAACATACAGTGGAATTGAGTACCTCCTCCTTTTTTAAGTCGGTAGATAACCGCTCAGATGGCGCTGATGTAGCGATTGTGGTCAAATATCTCACCGCATGTTTTCTTTTTAATTTTAGATAGGTAGAACCGATAACATTGTTCCAAACGTGCATTGGATCGTGTTTAAGATCAACCCTCAGATTTTTTTTTAAACAACCGATAAAGAAACAGATAACCAACAAGGACACTTCTTCTTCTTTTAAATTATAACAAACGAAATCAGTGACAACTGGGACATTACCGTTGACACTTGACAGTTAAATTTGATACCTCATAATGATATATTTTTAGGTTATCGATGCTTTCAAGCATTCTGAATTATTCAAAATTTTAAATATTTTAGAGGAGATGCAAGATTTAGTTGATTTTTATTTCGCGGATTCGCAAGTATCCAATAATCGATTATGGGTTTATTGACATCGATGGTTCGATGTTTGACATGTGGCAACATCGATGTTTGCATTCTTGACATCGATGATCCTCGAACATCGATGATCATCGACCAATCGACCATCTCTACTATGAAGTTCAAAAAAAAAAAGTCGAGACCTCTCGCTAGAGAGTAGTAGCTTGCTACATATATATTTATCTATGGAGAGTAGTACCCAAGGGTTCCCTATATGTTTTTTTTTTGTTTTTTTTTTTATTTTTTCTTTTTTTTTGTTTTTTTTTTTGTTTTTTTTTTTGGCGGGAAATTGACCGGCGGCGGTTTGCTGCTCCTGTATTATTGTTTAAATAATGGTTTGAAGTGGACTTTGATATGTAAAAGTGTTGCGATTTTGTGTATTAAGTGTCTACGCATGTGAACTATTAGTGGAAACAGTGAAACAAGTGCTCTGATGGTGATGGATTCTCAAGATAAGCTGTTTGTTTGCATAGGCACCTTTAGATACCATCGCCAACTATCAGCTGTCTGCTGGATCAAGTTGCCGCCAAAATCTCCCAAGAACTGCACAATGTGACGCATCAACATATTGTGAAGCAGTATACTATGAAGGAGTGGGGAAATTACAATAAACCGAATAAAAATACTTAAGACTTGGCCTAAAGGTCTAGATACCAGGCCATAAACTCCAAAAAAAAAAAGGGTTCCCTATATATAACGTAGATAGAGGATTGACGTAGAACGTAGATAGAGGATTAAGATACTATGTCTATGATATATAATGTACTCTGTGCGCAAGGGTATCAGTGTTCTGTGGAGTAGTATGTTTTCCTGTATAGGACAGTTATTATACTCTTTGAGTATGTTCCTTGCACAGAATATTTTACTCCTGTTCCTTGGTCGAGACAATGTTTAATAATTCTTGTTTTTGCGTTAGGTGTAGGTAGAATGTTATTGTTACTTAATCTATCAAAATTGTTACTTTACAGATAATATACATTTTCTAGCTTTTGTTTTGTTGCTATAGTAACATAATATGAAAAGAAAAACATGTTTAATCGAAAGTGTGGACTCAACAGACATTGTGAGCACTTTTATTGAAAAAAGGATTAGAGATAGTGTTTTTATCAGCGAAAATAACGAAATGAGCTATAAAAACTTAATCTGGTACAAGTCGTTACTATCCGCAGAAAAGTCTTGTTTAAAAGATGACAAAATCAAGAAAGTTCACTATAAATTTGAAGATGGGCGAGAAATGGTTGAAGAATACAATGTAGACACACAGGTGTTATTACGAAGAGCATGGAAAGTTAGGGGAAAATTAGGAGGTGAGGGCAAATGGCATGTAGAAGTTGGGGATCCTATCCCAGATGCTACTCCTAGTAATGATGTTGCAGATATAATTGAATCTAAGGATCAGGTCAGTGTTTGCGAAATATATAATTTTAAAATTCTTTTTATAATACAATTATCAATTTTTTATTTAACCACTTTCAGCCTGTACTATCGCGACGTAATACAAGAATAAATCTAGAATGGAGAATTAGGAATTTACCTTATCCTATTGAAACTTATTCTATTAAGGTTGATAATGAAAATAAGTGTATTGTTATTAGTACAACTAATAAAAAGTATTATAAAAAGCTGGAAGTACCAGAGCTTGAGAGAATTAATTTATCTCTAGAGCAAACAAATGTACAAGCATCTCATAATTTTAATACCTTGATAATAACTGTAAGTATAATTTGTTTTATTTCTCCGTGAGTATAAGCTCATAACAAGATCTTTAAATAAGAAAAACACCAGTAGTATATATTTTAACAGTTCAATTTTTTTCTCTTAATCCACCCTGTGCGGTACGCCCTGTTAATTAACAAATAAAACTAACATCTGTAACATTACTAACTATACAATTAAAAATGCAAAATCCAAATCCAAAAAGGTCAAAAAGTTTGCAGAATGGAGGATCTAGAGAAGAGAGGGGGATTTTTTGACTGTCACTACTTTGTGACTCAACATAACTATAAATAACAAGTTCAGCCAGATTGGTTCATTAGCCTTTGAGATATCACAGATAAACAGTTTGAGAAAAGAAAGTTCGAGAAGTGAACACTTAACTATGGAGAAAATTGGGGTATGTGCCATGAATAAGTTCCTCACAGGTGTCAATATCATAGGACAGTATTTTAAACTATGCTACTAGAAAATTTAATTATTCAACCGGAAAAAGTTTTAGGCGACTATGGTCGCCCATACGTTTGAGTGGTTAAAGATGAGGAAGAGGTTTTAACAGTGGTAGAGCCACACTGCAGCTTTTACTGTTGCACATATGGGCCGGCTGGAACCGGTGTGGTATAACAACCTCACAGAATACTTTTTTTTTTAAGTAATACTGGCGTGAAGTGGAAGCACTGCTTTTGCGTTTTGTCTGGTTAGTGCAAAGGGCCGGAGGCCCAATTTCCCCCTACCCCAGGAGGGTTCTAGCACCCCTGGAGAATCCCTCACTGAGCATCCACAACGAAGCTACTAAACTCCTGAGCGTGGGTGCTCTGGCTGCCCAGCCTATTCTGGCTGAGGCGAAAATTCCGCTCAAGAGAAAAACTGCTCGGAGGAAACTGAGCACTTTTTACATGGTATAGGTCAGATCGACTGTCTAAGGACCACGCTCACAGAATACTAATCTGTTCATGATTTTGCCATGGCATATGGTCTGAAGAACTGGTTACTTCCCCTACGCGAATCCCAGATGTGGAGGATCATGCATCTTCCCTGTTGGACTTTCTGCTGGCCTCTCATCTGGACAGATATCAAATTTACGTCGACGCCCCTCTTGGCTCCTCGGACCATTGTCTAGTGTCACAGGCTGCCACCGTCTTTGGCACTATATATCGGCCGATTGGGATGGGATGCGGTCTTTCTTTGCATCCTACCCATGGGGCCAGGTTTGCTTCTCTCCGGACAATCCCAACATTGTTGCTAATTCTTTTGCTGATGTGGTAGTATGGAACTTTTTATTCCTTCGTCAGTAATGCCCATCAGAGGCAGATCTCAGCCATGGTTTAGTCGTTCCTGTAAAATAGCATCACGCTACAATCAGGAGTGCTGCCGAGCCTAGGTTGACGCATCAATGTTATGTGAATGGATATAAACACCAGCGCCCTTAAAAGAAGTATAATTTCGCCGCCTCCAAATCCTTCAAAAGCGTCATTGCCAAGGCAAAGTGAGAGCACATAGGCAAAATTGGCGAGAAACTAGTTCGCCTTCCTTCGGGAACCCGTGCATTTTCGTCTCTCGCCAAGGCTGTTCAAGGGAACTTCTGTCAGCCATCTCTTCCATCTCTGCACAGGGAGGACAACTCACTGGCCCATGCCGCAAAGGAGAAAGCCGATCTGCTAGGCTCTTTCGACGGGGGAACACACCGCCGACCATCCCGCGTTGTGTGTGCTCCATGCCGAATGTGCGGTTCACTCAGCGCTCGGTTCGCAAAGCACTCCTCTCCCTGGACATCCACAAGTCGAGTGGGCTTGACGAAATCCCTCCAATTATGCTGAGGATGTGTGCTCCTGAGTTGGCTTTAACGTTGGTTCTAACGCGTCTTTTCCGGTACTCCAACTCCCTAGGCGTAGTCCCGAAATAAAGGCGATCGCTCAGACCCGTCTAACTCTAACAGGCCTATCGCCATCATCTCCTTGTTCTTCAAAATAATGGAATCTATTATAAACTGCCAGCTCATATGGTACTTTGAGGATCACCAGCTGATTAGTGACCGCCAATACGGTTTTCGTCGGAGTCGATCAGATGGTGATCTTCTGGTCTACCTGACTCATAGATGGGCGGAGGAAGTAGAATCCAAGGGGGAGGCATTGGCCGTTAGTTTGTACATTCCGAAGGCCTTCGATCGGGTCTGGCACAAAGCGCTTCTTTCGTAGCTCCCTTCCTATGAGCTTCCCGAGAAATTGTGCAATTGGATCACCAGCTTTCTTGCAGATCGGAGCATCAAGGTCGTAGTAGACGGTGCATGCTCCGATTACAAGCCTATTAATGTTGGTGTTCCACATAAATACGTGCTATCACCACCGCTGTTTCTTCTGCATAACAATGATATGTTGCTAACTGGTAACATTCATTGCTATGCGGATGATGCTCTATACATCGGCTGTCCCAATATTTCTCTGGAAAACGTCGCCGAGTACCGGAAGAAACTTGTGTCTTTGCTGAACAAAGTCTCGGATTGGGGGCGACTAAAGTCCAGTTTAATCTTCAGAAGACACAAGTTTGCGCGTTTACCACTTAAAAGAACCCCTTTGTCGTATCTTCAGTTTCAAGGTACTCCCCTTGTTGCCTCAGCCAGTATCGGAATCCCCGGCGTCGACATAACAAGTGATGTGCAATTTCGTGGTCACTTGGAAGAGAAGGCCAATTAGGCCTCTAAAACGACAAAATAAATTTTTTGAAGGTATAATTAAGTTAATTGAATGGTATGAGAAGTGTATTACAATTAATAAAGAACATTTCAAAAAGGAAAAATAATTTCATATTTAATTTCACCCTCTTTCTCTTTTATTCTGCAAACTTTTAGACCTTCCCTCGTACATATTGGTGAAGGAAAGCAGCATTACAATATGGGAGTATCAGTTCAGTTCTTCTCCGTTTACCAACCTGTGCCCTGAATGGCAAGTATGAGCATATCTTTAAAAAATATATGTGTTTGGTTGCTCCTGATTATATCCAGCAGTAGATTTATAAACAGACTAATAAAAAAAATTAATGTTTTCCAGTCCAGAAGTTTGAAAATGTGTTCCAATGTAGTACTGAAAATGTCACTTGACCATCACCCTGTCTTACACCTTTCTGCAGTTGAATTGGTTCTGTATCCCGGTTCTATACTTAGATAGATATAGTTAACAAACACTTCAGTGCCTTGTGTACCAACTCTCAATTCGGCACTGCCTATAAAGGTTCTTGCTCTCTGTAAATGTAAAGTGATAACTCAACGGATAAGCACTCACCATAAATTTCACAATATGAAAGCAGGTTGGTGAACACGAAACAATACTCTTGCACTGATAATAATGTTTCCCTTCTCGTTCTTGTGAAATTTTGCTGAGAATTTTTTAAATCCAGCTTTAGTTAGGAATATTACAAAAGAAGCCTACAGTCATACAGTTATTGTTATTTAGAGTAGTTTTTATCACTGTCCTGAATTTATTGAGAGCAAACTTGTTAATTGAAAAATAGATAATCTGTCTTATTATGTCTTCCATTACAGCCTATCAAAAGTCCACTGTTGAACATAGGCCTACCCCATATATTGTTATATAGAGGATATTTTTGCCATAGTTGCCTCGCTTGACAGGGTTGGCAACCATAGATTTTTGTTTTTTAATTATTATTAGGAAGATGTTGCTGTCCATCTTCTTTTTATTTTTCTCTGTCGCATCTAACAACACCCATGGGATGACAACGGTAGTGGATTTTGTTATACCGTCATAAGATAAACCGTTCTATGTACATAGTGGAAAATTAAATTTAATATGTATTTTTACCAAGCTTGCTTTATTCTCTTGAATTTTTTTTTTATAGTATAAGGGTAACAAACGGGCACAGAGTCCACCTGATGGTAAGTGGTTGCTGTGGCCCATAGACATATATATAGATTACGAATAAAAATGCAGATGCGTTGTCACCCGTGAGGACTAAGATGGAATGCCTCGTTTCCAGTAAAAAGGGTCTCTCGTTCTCAGCACTCAAGATATGAAACACAGAAGTGCTAAGCTGCTATTTTACGCTGGTATTCTGTGAAAGTGTGGTCCTTGCCATGTCGAGCCGACCCATTCTTGCTACAACTATACCAGTAATATATAGGTTGCAGCATGGCTCTACCAAGTAAAAGTTTTTTTTTTATTTATTTCAATTAATAAAAACAACAACTGCATTTCAGTATAAAAAGCCGCAAAAGCTTCTAGATATGGAAAAGGAATGGTATGAAGAGCTGAAAAAAGTAAAGCCCATTAAGGATATTCCAAGTGATTGTAAAACTCAATAAAATGCAAATAAGCTTTATGTATTACTTTCATTATTTAAAGTTATAAAATAATAACAGAATATTGCATTTATTAGAATATTGTTCACTTAATACACATTTTGCAATGCAATCATAAATTTTTCTGTAATTAAACATTTGTATTTCAGAATTCAAGTAATATTTTTAAAAGATTTACTCATACAATACATTAAAGACAAGACGGCTCCGTGGCGCAGTGGCTTAGCAATCAGTTGTTGCGCTGGGGGCCGCGGGTTCGAATTCCGCACGGAACTAGTATTTGTATGGTCTACAAATAATTGTTCCGGGTCTGGATGTTTGTCCTTGTGCAATTTATGTTTGTAAACTGCCTCCACGACACAGGAGAAAATCCTAGTGTGGGGGTAACGTTTTTAAAAAAAGATTAAGATTAAAGCAGGCTAATAAGAGAATTTTGGCTGATGGCATTGTAAGATCTAAGATGAAATTAATAATGTCAGACATCATGTTTTAGTACCGTAAAATGTGACAACTTGAACTTTAATGGTCAAGTTGCCACATTCAGTCAGTTGTTTTATGTATTAAGAGGACATTTTGAAGTGTGATCGACGGAAGACGTTTTTGCCAGTGGGGACATTATTGTTTATAAAGCAAGCAAATATACATCTTTGGTGAGTACAATTTTGATGTTGTGTAATAAACCTCAGAGATTAATTTTCCGTTGTGATCTATCCGTTTTTAGGCCAATCTGAACAAATACTATTTTAATTTACTTCGGCATACTTGGCTAACGTTAGGTCAAGTTGCCTTTGACAGCGGCGAAGCAACTTGACCTACACCTAGGGTTGACACAAAATTAAAGTTTATTCACGGTGTATAGTAACATAATTCTTCTTCGGTTTTACGAAAATATTGTCTGACAATGTGGCATTTACTGCTTAATCATCATCATTAGAGCCCTTCACAAGTCCACTAATGAACATAGGCCTCCCCCAAGGAGTGCCACAAAGCACGGTCCCAAGCCACCTGCATCCATCAACTTCCTGCATGTCTTACCAGGTCGTCACTCCATTTAGTGGGGGTCGCCCTAGACTTCACCTACCGACTTACTGCTTATTATTATTAAAGTAAGATTTGAAGTGGTATCTAGTTTTTTATATTAGAATCATGAATATATGTACAACAAGAAATTATGTTCGTTTCGAAGCCAATTTTTTTTCATCTGTTTTGAGTGGTTGCCGTAGTTAAATTTGTTAATTTTATTTCGGTTCTTAGCGCGATCGGTATTCACCAAGCAAAACAAATTGAGACCCGAAATAAAATATTTTGATTAACTGCGAAAGTTTGAAACAAACCATAACAAAATTTGTGCAGACTGATGGTTAAAATCATTAGAAGGGTATACTTCGGCATCCACACAAACATTATTTATTTTGGACCTTGTCCAGAAGGGGGGAATTCGCGGCGAAACGTTTCGCGTTAGCGAGATAATAGGCGCCAATACATCGCGTCCGCAACCATTGCGCAAATTCAAAATACGCGCGTAAATCGCGTGGACTTCGCCAGACTTTCGACTCGCGCCTGATTCGCGCGAGTCGAGATACTATAGACGCTTTGTTTCGTTTTCATCTCATCTCAATTCTCAGAATAGTGAATGTCTTGAACTCTTCCTAAACGATGGCATTGTTCAATTATTCAATTTGATTTGATTCGATAATTACATTTGATTTGATAATTACATGTGATTGTTTATCCTAAGAGACTGTATTAATATATATAAGTATTAATAAACCATTACTTCTCTTAAAGTTATCACGAGTTTTTTTTCCCCTGAAACAACATACTCGCGCGGAACATAATTTTCACGTGGCGATAAATCTTCAATTAATAAAAGTAAATCATCAAATGATTTCACGGACATACATAAAATATTTCTTCTCATGTTGTTTGGATACAAAATTACAAACATACTATGTGTCATTCTATCATTATGAATTAAATGTACTAAATACATTATATTTTCCCCGTTTTTGTCTCTTCCAGTGACGGTAAGTTAATCAAAACGCGACGGCTTTGTTCAACTCCATGTTTCCTATTGACTAAATTTGTCAGCTCCTTCTGGATGGAACGGTCGCGCGTGATACGCACGATAGAATCGCGGCGAATTCGCCCCTTCTGGACAAGCTCTTAGGATATTTTTTTTTTTATAGTAATAGGGTGTCAAACGAGCACACAGTCCACCTGAAGGTAATTGGTTGCTGTGGCCCATAGACATCTACATCTATCCTAATTTGCGAATCAAATGCAGATGCGTTGTCAGCCTTGAAGACTAGACTAAGATGGAATGCCTTTTTTTTTTCCAGTAAAAAAGGTCTCCGTTTCTCCTACACTCACCATACGAAACACAGCAGCATTAAGCTGCTATTTTACGCTTGTATTTTGTTAGAGCGTGGTCCTTCCCCGTCGATGCCAACAAAACGTCACCAAGCAAACGAGATCGTAGGAAACTTGGAGCAAGACCATACAGAAGCTACAGCGACGAAATATTGTCACTAGCAGCCGATAACATACGAACTGACTGAACAGGAAGAATTAAACTTTGTGAAAGTTCTAATAATAATTGTAGTGGCAGACTACGGTGATCCTCTGACACTAATGGATCTCAGGATACTAATGAATGAGTATTTATTGACAAATAATAAGGCTTTAATTGGACCTACTTATGCAATAAGGAACCAACCCACAAAACCTATCAAAATTAGAACTAAGTATGTAGAACACTTCAAAAATGCACTTTCTATCATGTCTGTAAAGATCAGTGATATAACAATTATTTCTCGAGTTATCACTACCTACTCAAGGACCCAAATCTAAAAACTAGTTTATTATTAAACTAAAGCCATCCATGTTCCATGGTTACGTAGTAAAAAAATCGAATTCGCAATTCTTTGTTTTTGTTAAAAAAAATCCACGTGGCATAGTTCTGCAATAGTTTGCAAATTAAACTTAGTCTTTTCCAAGTCGCGTGGTTTTGGTTTGCAAAATAAACTTTGATTATTTTAAAGGAATCATGTCGCATGGTTTTAGTTCGCAAAACACACTAAACGTTAGCTGTGTTTTTGTGCAGAACCATGGCACATGACTCTGTTTTATTGCGTCTGCAACGAGGTAGAAACTAATGTATGGTTCTTTTAGTTAAAATAGAAATATCAAGAAATTTTATTTAAAAACGCTTGATTATGTGAGATTTATAAAAAATATTACAGAATTTTTACTGTATTTGAATCAAAAGAGGAGAAATAAACGGAAGTCCGATCAATCAAATTTTAAAAACGAATTAATAACGTTGTTTAACCAAAATACTTCCACTTCCAACCTAAGTCCTGGCGATTTGTCATTTTTTGAATCTCTTGCTCTGATTCTAAATAATTTAAATGCTTATCAAAAGCTGCAGTTTGCTTTTTTTTTGCAAAGCAAAGGTTCTAGGATTAGTCATTGAGATTTCACCTCCCAACGTTTTTATCACCATCATAAAATAATGTTAATTCTAGTCTGAACGCAAATTCTACATACAATTACACAATTCGAACATCGCCATATCGTAATAATAACTATTCTACACCTGAACAGCTCTATGAATCTGCAGTAGATTTTCCAAATGTCTAATCGCCAACTGACGATAATTATACCTCAAATTCTGCTCACTCATCTGCTGTGTACAGTTCGATAGTTGAATCAATGAATGTTATGAATGAGACTCATAATGAGGATCAGTAAGGATTTCTTAGCTACCTATATAAATCTGCATTTGTATTGTTTTAATTATCGGCCTAGTATTGATCCTCATTAAAGACGGTGATTAAGTATTAGCTACAAAAACTTGAAATTATACATACACCACCATGTTTCTGCAAAATAAATATCATTTAGGTATAGTTATTCAATACTCTTTTATTTCACTTACTTTATAGTGATCGCCAATTTTTCCACAGGAGTTATGGGGATGCAACGTAAGCAGGATCGTCGTAAAGAAAAAACTGCTTGTTGATAGACAAAAATATTTATAAAATTTATAATTATTTTCTCGTAAATTGGAGAAAGATGTAACGTGTTTGCCTCTCAGTAAGTAACCTTGTAGCGTTATAAGGATCAACTACTCTTCTATTAAACTATTAAATCGCTGTTACCTTCTTTTACATAAAATGTAAACAGCCAGCACTCTAACCGCATTAACGTTCATTTTGTAGACGACCGTCTCACAGCAGCGGAACGCGTGGTACTAATCTCATTTTATAGTGCACGGCTGTTAACAGTACGCTGCCCAGCGGCGTGACGATAAAACCAGCTTAATACTTATAAATACACTTTAAGCATGCCTAAAGGGCAGTACACGGTTTGCAAACAAATGTATCTACATACTTTTGACATAGGAGAATGGATTATTCATGACTGGTCACGTAGCGTGCCTCATAGAGTGCATACGAAAAATAGGAACAGTACAATTAAAGAAGAAGAAGAAAGAAAATATTTAAGAGAATATTTGAATATGCTTCCAAAACTGGAATCACATTATTGCGGAAAACCTACGACTAAACTTTATTTAGAACGAAGTTGGAGCAGCAAACAAAGCCTTTACCGAGAATATCTGAATTATCTCGGAGAAAAAGGGAAAGATGGCTGTAAAGTATCAATATTTTGTGAAGAATTTGAGGTGATAAGCCTTTCATTATTTTGTCACAAGAACGACGAATGTGATGTCTGTTGCGCCAGAAAGGTTAGTGTTCAAAGGTTAGGAGTTTTGTTGCCAGCGGCCCGCGTCCGGGGATTGTAGCCGGTTGGTTGCTACCGGCGGCTGGGTCGAGTCGAACAGTTGTAGAATACAGTGCTGTCGAGAGCACATCGTGAAGTCGCCCGGGAAACCTCCATTTTTGAGAGTCGGTATTGTTAGCAAATTGTTGCCACGACGAGAGTTTTTTGTTAAGTCTAGAATTAGAAGCCGGGGTAACAAATTGTTAGGAAGTTAA